ACACACACACACGCACACGCACACACACACACGCACACACACACACACACACACACACACGCGCGCGCGCGCGCAAGAGGGGGTGCAAGGGGAAACCTTCGGCCCCCACCTTCCGCGCCCAACTCCGCTGGTAGGCAGCGTGGACCTCGCTTTACACCTTAAAGTACATGCGCTAAGTAAAGCAAAATTATAAAGTACATACATGGGAGGGGGTGCAGGGGAGCAAAACCCTCCCGCCCACGTATGTATAGTCGGGGAGCTGAGGGACCAAAACTGCAACAGTTTTAGAAAGGCTGATATTTTAACATTAGGTCATGTAACGGTTGTATTTGTCATGGGTAGCGACTGTTGCGACCCTAGCGGCCTCGAACAGAACCCTTCAAGTCGTGTATAAACACAGTTTAAATTGAAGAATGGCATCCAAAAAGAGAGAAAGGCAAGATTACTGCAGTGTTATTAATTGCAAAGAGCAGTTGAAAGGGAACGTAATTTTTCACAAATTTCCGAAAAATAAAGAATTAAAAAAAATATGAATAAGCAGGTGCAACATAACCAAAAATGTGACAAAACACAGCATGTTATGTAGTCTGCATTTTACTGAAGAAGATTATTATCCAATTGGTAAATACATATTGAATATATGCAATTAAATTTTAATTAATAAAAATTATGTATTACGTATACTATTCATATGAACAATATTTGTTCTAGGACCAGCCAGCAAATTTATTAAGAAAACGGGAGCTATTCCATCGCAGAATTTACCTATAGGAAAGAAAGTGTTCACTCCAAATATATTAAAAAGAAAGAAAAGTAATAAAATTGTTAACAGGTAAATAATAATTTGTAGCATTTGACGTGTAATACATTATGTATATGCATATTAAAATTATTAATTTAATTTTTACAGATCTCTTTTTGAATCCAGACAAATTGAATGCAAAAAGAAAATTGAAGAGACTCTTTCAAAAGTACAATCAATCCAGAGTTTGAAAAATACAAAGCAAGATGAGCCAATTAATAAAAATAAGCAAGGCAGCGTAGCAAAGGAATTTGATTTAATAAAAAATTTTATTAATAAGTGTGATAGTTGTAATGGGCAGAATGATAGTATAATTAATACCGCTGAAGATAGTTATAAAGTTACTGGAAATAAAAAATCAAACATTGATGCAGTAATTGCACGTGTAAGTGTTAGTATTGATGAAGAAAATGTAACTCTTAACGCCGAGGATTCATCAGCATTAGAAGAAATTAGCTTACAAAATGCAGATGCAAATGTTGCGCAACAAAAAATTTTATCTGAAATTGAACCTAAACTTTGTACTGATTTATTAAAAAATAATTCAATGAACTTAATGTTTTTAATAAAAAATGATGATCAGTTAATAACATTTACTGGAATAAATCATAGTCTGTTGAGCAGCTTAACAGCAGCAGTGATACTATGTGAAAAAAAACACTACACAAACAAGTTTTCTAATTCAGTACAGGATAGAATAGTATTGTGCTTATGCAAACTTCGATTAAATTTGTTTTTTTCTTGTTTAGCAGTACTGTTTGGTTTAGACAGAAAAAGCTGCGCAAAAAATGTTTATTACATGATTCAATTATTGTCTACCATTTTAAAGAAAGTTATATACTGGCCTTCAAAAGAAGAAATTATGAAAAGTATGCCAAAGTGTTTTCAAAATTTCAAACAAACTGGTATTGTATTAGATTGTACAGAAATACCAGTAGAGAAACCTACTTGCTTGAAATGTCGGTTAAAATTATATTCACATTACAAAGGATGTGAAACTGTTAAATTATTAATAGGCGTAGCACCTTCTGGGCTAATAACTTTTCTAAGTGAAGCTTATGGTGGTCGAGCATCTGATAAAACAATTTTTAATCAAAGCAAAATAATTGGTAAAATGGATGCGACAACCCACGCAACACGCCGACGTCTTTTAGACGTCAAAACGACGTCCCGTCCGTACGTCATATGACGTACTGAAGATGTACCGAAGACGTCCAGTAGACGTCTTTTTGTACGAAAAATGTGGCGTCCAAAGACGTCCAATAGACATCGTTAATACGTACAACGGTACGTACATGGTACGTACCAAAGGCGTCCAATAGATGTCATTGTACGTACTAACGATGTCTACTGGACGTCTTTGGGCGGTACATCGTATCACCCAAAGACGTCCAGTAAATATTGTTATATCCTTCCAGGGGGCCTAGATTACGTATCTTTTCACAAAGTAAAAATGCGAAAAGTGAACAGATTTACATTTCAACCATTAAAATTATAGTATACTCTAGTGAATTCTTTCACTTTTCGCATTTTTACCTCGTGAAAAGATACGTAATAAGCCCCCAGGATGTAAAATGGATGTAGTGTAGACGTTTTTGATGGATATTTCTGAAAATCGCATTTATAGAAATTATTAAATTCGCGAAATGGTCGAGAAAGTAAAATCAGATTAATATTTATTTTATTATAAAAAAACACAGCTTATAAATGCTTATATATAGTACAGCTAAAATGTATATATAGTTATGCAAACTGTTCGGGCGCGCAATAAACGCGCCGAACGAATCGCCGAATCCGTTCCGCGAGAACGCGAGATAATTGCGAGTGGCTTCGTTCAGCCCTTTAACTATGAGACGACCGGGGTTTCAGTTGAACGCGGACTCGATCGCTTGTTAGGAAGTTGAGTGGAAGGCCCAAAAGACAGCAATTGACTTATAATGCATATAAACTTTATTCGATATAATAGAACAAAACTGACGAAACGCGAAATGTACAGAGAAATTAGTGCGAATGCACTCGGCGCGCTGTGACTTGTAGTATGCGTAGTTTTGAAATGCGATTTACATAACGTGCGCACAGAAAAGCGGTAGAAACGATAGACGGTATCGCGGATGCAATTGTCGCGGTGTGACGGAGTTGCGAAACGCGGTCTAACGTCCGATGCCTACAGAGACGCGGTAGGTGGATACGGCAGAAAACGAAGCACCGGGGCCACGACAGCGAGAGGGCTCGCTACGAGACCGAGCGTGCTCGACCCCGCGAAATCGTGATCGTCGGTTTGGTAGGCTGGAGTTCGGGGACACCTGAGAGCACTCAGTCAAGACTCGGAGCACCGGACCTCGTTTTATGTGTCGCCCTAGGAAGTTGGATAGGGTAGGCTTCGTCGAAGGCAGCAGAGAGCCGGAGATAAGACGAAGTGCCTGCTCCTGTCGGAGCGCCGGCTTATATACCGCGGCGCGGCGGGTTCGTTGGAAGGGAGGCCGACGGTCGGGCGAGCCGCGTAGGGATGCTGACACGCGCTCGCCTTCGGCGCGGCTCGGCTTCTTCCGGCGGTTCCGAACTTATCGCGCATTTTGCGTGAGAAGCAAACGAAACGTATATCGCAGTACATATAACGGTTTAAGATATAATTTTTACATTGCTAAATTGGGGGAATCCCCAACACAAACATTTATTACAAGAACTATTGACTATGTTCTGCATATAGAACCATATAGGTAAAAGAAGCATAAAAAAAGAAAGTTCCTCATTTTTAAGACTCATGGATAGTCATCACGGCCATATTAAATTCTTGTTATCAAAGGCAAGAAATTAAACCCTATTTTATTGTGCGTTCCATTTTCAAATAAAAACATTTTGATAAAAAATAACTAGATGTTTCCAAACACTTCTAAAATTGATTGAAAACTCAGAGCGTAGCTTCTAGCGTGCTTGAAATCTGTGCGGACGTGAAATGGCATAATTTCTTTTTTTTTCCTTCTTTTTTCCATAGAACAACGCTGGCCAAACTTGGAAGCATCATCGTCGTCGGCGTTATATTACGTGTGTAAAATGTTGAACAAATGTCTATCTTCTCGCGCGCGCGTATTCATAAATCACTGAATAAACCTTTAAACGTGTGCAGTTGCACGGATCTTCGAATTCACGTACAATACCGTAAGGATTTATTTTTCCACTTTATGAATATTTTTCAGGCTTTCTTTGTTGTGACACTAGGTCAAGCAGAAAGTGTGCAACAAGGGAAAAATTACAAATACCGATGCGTATCGAAGTTCAATTGGCTTCTTAAGATGGAGGTGTTCTTTATTTCTATAAAAATGATGTAAAAGATCATATATAAAAGAAAAATCAGCGCATCTTTTATATTAATTCATGTCAAATGTCGGCTCGATTCTATTCCTCATTGCACATCTATCTGCGTTTACACAAATACTTTCAATAATGGATTAAAAATAATAAAATACACACAATTTTCGTATATATAGCAGCACCGATTGAGTGCGGTATAACTTAAACTCGGATTAATTTCTAGAAAACTAGATTCATATTCGTTTAAAAATAAGTTGAGAATACTGAATATATTATAAAGTGAAACATGTAACTTCGAAATCCTTTCTCTCTAATGACAATAGGTTTTTTCTTTTCTATACGGTCTTATTGCTATCTCTCAGTTTTAGGCTAAAAATAATATCTGGAATTCATTCGACTTGCCTGAGAGTTTCAATTTTTTACAAACTCATACATATACCTAATATGTATAATAAAACGCACTTACAAATCGAACTGAAAAATTCAAGATTGACTATTCATTAATTCAGCGCAAAATCTTAAAAAAAAAAGAGCACGCAAGCGCATGTTAATCAAACATCACGTTGGACTAAATATTACTACAGTACTAGAGAAAAGAAGAGACGAAAAGAAAGACAGGGAAGAAAAAAGGGGGAGGAAAGGGACAGAGGTAGAAGAGTTAAAGAATAGGCGATGGCGATGACATGCAAGTACAAATTACACATTGCACATGTCAGAGTTGCCAACAAGTTTCGTCCACTTCATTGGAAGAATTAATTGCTAAACCATATCCCATAACAACCCCATTATCACGTCAACGTTATTTCATAAGCATTTAAAGTCTCGACCGCGAACGGTCGCGACTTCTAGTCTCGGCTACCGTCACTTTTAAACGATCCAAAATTTCTCTGCACACTGCATGTGTATGTGACAAAGTCACATCACACAATAAAATCTATCTATATAACAAACTAAAATATGTTTGGACATCGCAACCGCAGTCACCTCTGCTCTTGTGATCCCAATATTATAAACGAAACAACGACTGTCCGTGTACGGATCTTGCTTCTTCTTGAACCACAGCGGTTCGTACGAGATAGAAAATCGTAGATAAATTAACTTCGATAGAAATTATTTCGCCTCATTGCAAACCTTCGGAATCCTATCCGATGCTCGCCGGAACCAATCAATTATTGTACTTTCAATGACACGATCATCAATATTTTTGTACCGCTTTTTCACAGCATCTGTAAGTGACAAATTAAAACATTTTATACTTATTTGTAAAAAAACTAATTTTTTTACTTATTACAAAATTCTAAATTATTATTATATATAATAATATAAAATATAATATAAAATATTAGATCTTGCCTGAAGCTCTTCAATGAGAATGCTCAATCTATTATATACGTACCTATATATATATATTGCATACATTGAGGCTACGGTCAACGTGACGCTACAAATGCTTTGGAGCGTTCTTCTTTTCCTTCTTTCTTCATTGAAAGAAAAGAGAAGAAGAATGCTTCGAAGCATTTGTAGCGTCACGTTGACCATAGCCTGAAAAGTATTTCTGGCAGCAATTATTAAGAATCATGCTCTTATGCAGGAAGTGTCACATATAAAAATATCATACCTGTTAGTACCAAGCACGTAGCTATGAATTTTTTCGTACTTCTACACGTAGTTAGACAATACGTCTACAAATTATTACTTCTTCCTTGAAAAAATTCTTTATAAATTTCACGGTCCTGACAACGGTCCTCATCAACTGTCTAGTTAGCTCTGGCCAAAGTGATACCTGTGTACGAATAAATATATTTTTAATCAAACTATTAAACTATTACAACATATAATCTAACTTGTCAGCTTTCTCGACATGTGAAGAAAAATGTGTTTATAGATGTATTGGCATAGATATACGGTTTACGACGGCTTTATTGCTTACGACCACGATCAAATAAGCGTTACGATAGATGTAGTTAGCTTTACATGCCCCACGAGCGGAGATATATTGCGACGCAAAGTCCAAAAGTGAAAATTTTATATTAAGATACTTATGTAAGATACGTCGACGTCTCTCAATAATATATATAGGTATGTATATATATGTATCAGAAATGTCACTTTCACTACCTTCAACGGTATAGAATTAACACGCGGTCTCGTCCCGGCGAAAAGCAA